ATAAACTCAATAGCAATTTACAAAGTTTGTACAAATCAGAGACCAACTCGTCTACAAAAGCCCCTACAGGTGAGGATCGCCCTTAGGCAACAAAACCAACTGTTGATAACCGACCTGATTAACAGGGTTCAGATCGCAGATTTGCAAGTATTATTCAATGTTTATTACTCCAGCCGGCTTATACGCCTAACTTGATATACCTCGGTACGAACAAAATGTCAAATCGACTTAACACATTAATGCTGACCGACATAACATTCACAACAATGACCGAGTTCTTAAAGACTCCTTAGGAACCGACTTCTCGAAGGTTCTTCCTACAAACCGAGGTCCGAGGTGACCGAAATTCGAAGCAGGTGACAAGGTGTTCGCATGACTAGACCACGTGCTATATTTGCAATCATTGTTGTTCCTCCATTGAACAGCAGACCGCTTCAAAAAAGCTGCTCAGCATTAAATGTGATCATATCTACCTCGTACTAGAAGTTTAACACACACTACTATAAATAGCAGAATTTATTGTTGTACATGGATCTTTTTACGCACATTCAACACGTATATGCAAATTTAGCTCGGTTTACACACACAGCGACTTCTTGTACTCAGCAAAAATACAGAAATAATACAAAGTCTATATCTTTTATGCTTTAATTACATTTTATAATCATTGAAAATCGTTGTTAAATTCCATACCACAACACCAACTAAAATTAGAGTTTGTATGGTAGCTAGTGGCAATGCCTATCCCATTGAAAACCCATTAGCTAACTACAAATTCGAAGGCCCAAAAAAGGGTTCAACCACTGCACTAAAGGCCTAGCTGAACCCTAAGCAAAAAAGACTGCAACAACCAAATAATACAAAAGCAATCAACAACTAAAATTAAAACCTACACAAAAAAAGCAACTGTTAGAAACAAAAGAACCAGATATAACAGACAGAGCCTTGCTGTAGCGCCCGACTTTTATTTACCAAATTCAGAATAAATTTTTCAAAATTTATTTCAAAACACTTGAGGCGCTACTCATTTTCAAAATAATGAGTCAATTCAATCCTAACCCAAATAACCGATAACCGAGCATTAAGACTCCAAAATAAACTAAATTCAGAATTAGGAGTTAGGCCCAGCCAATTAACCTGAAACTTTACCAAATTATAAAGCATGCAAAAACACATAAACTCACCAAGTTTAAGCCCTAAATTCATCCGGGAACATTTTTAAATAATTAAGGCAAAAACAGCGCCAAAATAGCGTTTAACAGTTCGCATAGCTGCACTTCGAATTTTGATCTGAAATTTTTGCACAACTTAAAACATAACAAACTAACAGGTTCCTGAAAGTTTCAGCTCAAAACTCCAAGTGTAAGATTTTTAATGAATTTTACAAGTTTCTGAATAGAAACCGTTTTAAGCATTTGAACTCGAAAAATTCAAAAATAAAATCAGGGGCTTGGCACACATATTCCACATACTCCGAGGCACAACATATCCAAAAATCAGCTCAAATGGATAATAACTCGATTTATGGTGAATTTATTACGATTCAGCAGCATGTTCGGTTTAGAAAAATCATAACTCCCAAAATACAACTCGAAACGACTTGAAACCAAAACTAACAGATCAAGGACAACTCCAAGTACCTATAACTACAGGATTTCCACGAAATGAACCACATATGTTCAGTTCGAAAATTATTCAAATTGACGGCAATCACTTTGATAACCAATTCGGGAATATAAAATAAAATTCATACAATTACTCAACTAAGGCACGAATTTAAATTCACGAAGCACGTTTAACACCCATTTCACATAACCGAACACATAAAATAATATAGGATTAAACGAGACGGGTCGAGCCTTGTTCCGTTCTTGATCGAAAACGAAAACGAAGGGCCGATCGAAAACGAAAACGAAAACAAGCGGAGTGGACAACTCGTCCGTTTGCGCCTGACGGAGCTCGCTGAAGGTCGAGGGCTGAGAGTGACGTCCCGCGGAGGAGCAGGTTGCGATGTCGGGTCGAACGAGGGTTGACGGCGCACAACGGGGGGCTCGACGGCTTACCGCTGCTAACCCTTACGACAAAAGGCTGCCCGTTGTTATCCTCGCACGCGCCCGAAAGGCCACTGCTCGACGGAAAAAGGAATCTGGCCGCTGCTGTGAAGGGACGGCTGCTGCTAACGAAGGCCGACGGGGTGCCGCTGACGTTCGGGCTGCCTGCTGCAGCTCGAAAAGGAGGTTCGTTGAAATCTGAAATTTGAACAGGGGCTCGCTTACAAGGATTTCTCGACGTGAATGGATAGAACGAGGGCCGCAACTGCTTGTGAAGGTCGCCAGCAAGAATTCATCTCGTCTTGTTCGTCGGCGGTACTGCTCGCGAGTGGACGAGGGACCTACTGCTCGCCGTTGAGAGAAACACGCGGCGGGGCAAAGGATCTGATGTCGCGGCGTGAGGGCTTGGCCGCGGCGCATTGCTGCTCGAACAGGAAAAATTGCCGGAAGTCGCGACGGGGTGGCTGTCCGCGGCAAAGAAGGGCTGCTGCGATGGCGGAGGGGTCGCCGGAATTGAGAACAGCTGGAAGGTCTGACGAAGCTGCTCGTCACAACGGCCCGCTGCTGGTAGAGACGGAGTTGCACGGTGAGGAGAGTGTGTCGGAAATCACAGGCTCGGAGAGGAGAGAGCTCGTCGCGAGGTGGCCGGGGTCGGGGATGGCTCTGCTCGCGGTGGCGTCGCGGCAGAGGGTCGCCGCAGAGGAGGGGTTGCTGTGCGACGGGACTGGTTCACGGCGTTGCTGCTGGAATCGCCGGAGATGGAGCAATTGGTCGCCGTGACGGATGGCGAGGTTGAGGGACGATGAAGGCAAAGGATTTTCTCGTTTTTGCTCAAACGCGATCGAGAGAAAACATGGAAAAAGGAAAAGACTGCGGGGATATGATTTTCTCTGTCCTCAAATCGCGAGCGAGAAAAAAATAATTAAGCTAGGGTTAAAAAGTCTTGTAGGCCCACACATACTTGGGCGGGCGGGTCGGGTCGGGTCTGATGGGCCGGGTCGCGCGATTCGGGGTTGGTTCAGTGAACGACTCGGCTCTAGGGCCCGTCTAGACGTAGCTTCAATACAGTTTTTCTCGGGCCTGATAAATTAAATCGGATCATATATATATATATATACACACAATTAAATTTTTGAAAATAACAATATTAATAAAATACAAATATACATTTTTAATTAAATAATAATACTTAGGCAATTAGGCAATTAATTACAATTTGGCAATTTAAATAACATTTACACAGTTAAGCAATTTGACAAATAAATCACATTCGACAATTAATAATTTATAGCATTCAATAAATAATAATAATAATAATAATAATACATAAATATAAATAATAATAATAATAATAATAATAATAATAATAATAATAATAATAATAAATAATCTTCAAAAATTTTGATAGTCAAACGGGGCATTACAATCTATCCTCCTTAAAACATTTTCGTCCTCGGAAATGCGAAAGAACACACATCTAAAAGGAACGCCATACTTGAATGGGAATTTCCAATCACGAGGTCGAAGCATCACTCTCTGGAACTCGATTTCGTTCTCATGAGTCCTATCGCCTAACAATCGAAAGGCATGCACTCACATACAGGAACCAATCCGACTCGCCCTATGCTCATATGTTTACCTTCTTGCTTGGGAGGGTGATCAGTCCTGCCCGAGCTCAGGCGTACATCTTCTTGCAAAGGACCCAGTTCGGTTTAGCCTATACTCATGAGTATCAACGACTTGCTTCGCACCTAACAACACACAAGACCTCAACGGGTCGTTCGGTGTATTGTCAGCGTACCCCGATTACCTCACCATCAAGGTGGACACGTGACACCAAGTTTCAGTCTCGTATCCGAGTCACACTGACAACTTGCTCACGATTTCATTACGGCCGTGTGTCTCTATCAGAGACAACGACACGGTACCACATACATCAAGCACGACACCATCAAGCTCGCACTCTCATGATATCGACTCCACGAGTCGAACGCAACCCTTATGCACAAACATAAGGCTTGACCCAAAGGAACACGACATTCCCAATTTGCCGACTCGAGAAAACTCTCAAGTAAAGCATAAGGACTCATCGACTACACTCCTTAATAAGAAACCATCGATTAAGGTTTATGCACATTTTAGTGGAACTTGGAGCCCTCGGTTCAAGGTTCGGGGTAACATAAATAGCTCAGCAAAAACTGGTCGATCAACGAAATGAATCGGAGGTTCTGGGTTAGTGTACTGTCACCCAAGAGGCGGCACGCTCGCTGGCGCTGCATAAGCGGGGCGCTGGGACGCGTGCGTACCCACCTACTCGGAGACCAGCTGTAAGGTCGAGGCTTGGCCGCACACGCTGGCCTGGGGAGTTTGTGCGTTCGGTGATGGCGGCTGCAGTTCGCATGCGAGTCAACGATCAGCCGCGCGCAAGCCTCCCGTCTCTCATCACGGTCGTGCGTGCTCGGCCACCACTTCGCGTGGCTACACCCAGTCAGGGTTTGCGTTTGGTCCAGGTTTTCACAAAAAGGAATGGTCTTACCAAATTTCAAAAAATTTTGGGGTCAACAAAACAATATACATTTCAGGCGTTTCTCAATTTCAAAAGTTTCGAAAAGTCTCAAAAATAGCAAGGTGCAATTTCGAGTTCCAAGTCCACTTACTTTCTAATACAACAAAACGCAATACGCCACAGATCTAATGATATGCGAAACTTCATAAGAACTCTCGTGACGATTCTCCCTAAGTCAGCGGCTTTTGCCGAGACATTAGATAAATAGCTCGCCTCGGTTCTTCCGACTAACAGCGTCGGCTGACACGTCAGCTCTTCATCGGGTAGCTAATCGTGTCAGCAGTCCTAAACGAGTGCAACTCACTTCCCAATCTTCACACCTTGGAATTTGAACGCGAAGTCCCTCCCGGGATTCCGAAGGAGTAGGAGAACAAAATTTAGAATAATGACGGTTCCGCACTACGCGATGTGTTTGCTCCGGACTCGTCTATCCTCCTTAAAAGATTTATGCATAATCCTTTAAGGTGGGAAAAGCACTCCATCTCGATAACAGCAGGAGATAACACAAAAGCACTTATAGGCGGCGAGCTCGGCTCGTCAAGCACCTTCATTAAGTCCAGATGCTATAATCATCATCTACTCAGACTTAAATGAAATTCACAATTATACTCAGCCGAACTTAATTCGACTAAGTTGTTCGTGAAGTCCTGTAGACGTTGGAACACTTAAAGAACCGAAAAACGAGTTGATTCACAGTTTTTATTGCAAAAGTCATATATTTAAAAATACTAGATTTTAATCACAAAATTAGGTTGGTCAGGTTATCATATGAATTTACTCTGAAATTCTTACCAAAATTCCACCTCACATAATTAAGCAATACCACAAATTTTGCAGCCCCAAACTAAAACCGTGCTATTTTATAAAATTCTAGCAAGATTATGGCAAAAACGAGAATAAATTAGCAAGCTGAGTAAATGAATGAACTAACCTATGAAATTTTTATACCACAGACTACAGCATGAGTGTGGCAACATGTCAAAATTTCAGCCCTGGACATTAACTGTACAAATTTTAAAAATTTCTACAAGTTTCAGCAGTTATCAAAATTCAGTTAAAACCAAACCAAATTGAACTCCAAAACTTCTCATCTTTTAACAACATGAAAACACATAATACAAGTACTCCAGCCAAGTTTCAGAATTTTTCAACAACTAACCGATTTATGATAAATAAAACAACTTTCTGCATAATCAGAAAATAAATTATTTACCCTATCAAACTTAGTCCAAAACCTCTAAAAATTTTACACAAAATACAATCATAACAGAGGCAAAACATACTAAATTTTCAGCCAATTTCAATCACTACACAATTTATTATGCAATTAAAATGAAACTGACCAGAAATCATCATAATTATTTAAAATAGCTACAGGCCTTGGAAAATTACGAAATTTTAGCACAGGTCAGATGTTCAACAGAAGACAAGACCCTCAAAATATCAAGGCAAATGGAGAAGTACATAATTTTTTAATAATTCCAACTCTTAAACAGCGATTATTAAAGTTCAACAATTTATCTACGACTCGTTTTACGACGAATTCGTCCGAAGTCTTCGCCATAAGACTAAGGACGATACAACATTCCAATCCACAGCGACTATATCACGAATCGACGAGGTCTCGTTCGATTTCTCAAAATCGAAGAGATCGTCTACATATATACAACATATATTTAAACCAATTTCAAACTCATGAATACAAAATTAACATAGGCATATTCACATCTGATGGTCTTAATAACCATGGTTACAGACCTCCGAATATCCCACACTTGAGACATCTTCGGTTGTCTACTCCCTTCATTTAAGCCTTCTCCTTTCGAGATAGCTCGCGAATGGTCCTCTTCCGAAGACACCAAAATATATTGAGAGGACTGTTATGCACAGAACTCAGGTCGATAACACCGTATCAAATTTCTAAACAACAAAACCTCAAGTTAGAACTTAACTCTATATCGCTAGAGTTCAAATTCATACAACTAAGGTTCGCCACTCATCTAGAGTTCCAGAACGTTCAAAAGTAGGAGGATAAATTCCTAAGCCCCGATTTCATTTCAGAAATCAATAATCAATAATGCACAATAATCTTAAATCATTCAGGTACTCGTACCTGAGCTGGCGCGGCACGACGAGAGCGAGTGGTCAAAATATGAGGTCAAAGCATGTAATCGCATAATTCACATTAACCAGTCTACAGAAACGCAGACTGGCTCTGATACCAAACTGTAACGCCCGACTTTTATTTACAAAAATTCAGAATAAATTTTTCATAATTTATTTCAAAACACTTGAGGCGCTACTCATTTTCAGAAAAACAATTCCAACAATCTCACATATGCAATTCCCAACGAGTTCAAAATTCATAAATAGTCAACACCCAACCGAGTTCAATACTCATAAATAGCCAACACCCAAACCGAGTTCGTGACATCAACACCCAAAAACGGGTTCATCAAATCCATAAATACTAGGGAGTACACTCCCTATAGATAATCCAGTACTCAACATAAGTCAGGAATGCATAAATCATAATAAGCAATTTAATGCAGCGGAAATAAACGATAACATGACCACCACTCGCCTCCCTCTGTTGTGCCCGCAATTACTAACCTGCATCATTGAAGAGCAGGTGGGGATGAGCATAATAGGAAAGCGAGGTGCTCACCACTATGCAATAATTAATATTAAATTTCATAAAATAAAGCAGGTATGGTCGCAGTATAAACACAAATCAATTAATATCCCATCTCCTTCCCAGAGTCAACTCTCATGTGCACACCTATACCAATAGACCACTGCTGATACACCTATCGAAAACCCCCACGGGCCTTACATTCGATGCCCAGACACTAGGAGTAAATCCACCCCGAATGCCCGGAAACATCCCTTCGGACTTACATCGAGGATCACCAGCCAAGGCTCACGCCCTGACTGCCATACATAAATAAAGGAGACACCCCATCGGGTACGTTCTATAGCTACGGGGATAACCGTTCGACGGCCAATATAACTCACATCGAAGGCTACATGGTTCACATGCATACTTTGATCATACCACAACAATAACAATTAATTAATGCATAGAAACTTTTCAAATAAAACCCACCTGGATGTAGCAAGAGGTATAGCCAAACACAGAGTTGAAGGAATTATGGCAAAAGTTCAGCTCAAAGGACCTACAACAATTTATAATAACTTATCACTTACTATTCAATACGAAACAGCACATAAGGCACATATACTTAGCCGAATTCACATCGACTAAGTGACTCGTGGATTCCTCGACCGAGTTAGGTACTATGGAGTGACTACAAGACCTGGACACAACTCAATTACCTCAGGTAATACACATAAGTCATGCCAACATTAATAAAATTCTATCCTAACCCAAATAACCGATAACCGAGCATTAAGATTCCAAAATAAACTAAATTCAGAATTAGGAGTTAGGCCCAGCCAATTAACCTGAACCTTTACCACATTATAAAGCATGCAAAAACACATAAACTCACCAAGTTTAAGCCCTAAATTCATCCGGGAACATTTTTAAATAATTAAGGCAAAAACAGCGCCAAAATAGTGTTTAAAAGTTCGCATAGCTACACTTCGAATTTTGATCTGAAATTTTTGCACAACCTAAAGCATCACAAAATAACAGGTTCCTGAAAGTTTCAGCTCAAAACTCTAAGTGTAAGATTTTTAATGAATTTTACAAGTTTCTGAACAGAAACCGTTTTAAGCATTTGAACTCGAAAAATTCAAAAATAAAATCAGGGGCTTGGCACACATATTCCACATACTCCGAGGCACAACATATTAAAACTTCAGCTTAAATGGATAACAACTCGATTTATGGTGAATTTATTACGATTCAGCAACATGTTCGGTTAAGAAAAATCATAACTCCCAAAATACAACTCGAAACAACTTCAAACCAAAACTAACAGATCAAGGACAACTCCAAATACCTATAACTCCATGATTTCCACGAAACGAACCACACATGTTCAGTTCGACAATTATTCAAAGTGACGGCAATCACTTTGATAACCAATTCGCGAATATAAAATAAAATTCATACAATTACTCAACTAAGGCACGAAATTAAATTCACGAAGCACGTTTAACACCCATTTTACATAATCAAACACATAAAATAATATAGGATTAAACGAGACAGGTCGAGCCTTGTACCGTTCTCGATCGAAAACGAAAACGAAGGGCCGAACGGCTATCTCGTGGAGTGGACAACTCGTCCGTTTGCGCCTGACGGAGCTCGCTGAAGGTCGAGGGCTGAGAGTGACGTCCCGCGGTGGAGCAGGTCGCGATGTCGGGTCGAACGAGGGTTGACGGGGCACAACGGGGGGCTCGACGGCTTACCGCTGCTAACCCTTACGACAAAAGGCTGCCCGTTGTTATCCTCGCACGCGCCCGAAAGGCTACTGCTCGACGGAAAAAGGAATCTGGCCGCTGCTGTGAAGGGACGGCTGCTGCGAACGAAGGCCGACGGGGTGCCGCTAACGTTCGGGCTGCCTGCTGCAGCTCGAAAAGGAGGTTCGGTGAAATCTGAAATTTGAACAGGGGCTCGCTTACAAGGATTTCTCGACGTGAATGGATAGAACGAGGGCCGCAACTGCTTGTGAAGGTCGCCAACAAGAATTCATCTCATCTTGTTCGTCGGCGGTACTGCTCGCGAGTGGACGAGGGACCTGCTGCTCGCCGTTGAGAGAAACACGCGGCGGGGCAAAGGATCTGATGTCGCGGCGTGAGGGCTTGGCCACGGCGCGTTGCTGCTCGAACAGGAAAAATCGCCGGAAGTCGCGACGAGGTGGCTGTTCGCGGAAAAGGTGGGCTGCTGCGATGGCGGAGGGCTCGCCGGAATTGAGAACAGCTGGAAGGTCTGATGAAGCTGCTCGTCACAACGGCCCGCTGCTGGCAGAGACGGAGTCGCGCGGTGAGGAGAGTGTGTCGGAAATCACAAGCTCGGAGAGGAGAGAGCTCGTCGCGAGAAGGTGGCCGGGGTCAGTGATGGCTCTGCTCGCGGTGGCGTCGCGGCGGAGGGTCGCCGCAGAGGAGGGGTTGCTGTGCGACGGGACGGGTTCACGGCGTTGCTGCTGGAATCGCCGGAGATGGAGAATTGGTCGCCGCGACAGATGGCGAGGTTGAGGGACGATGAAGGCAAAGGATTTTCTCTGTTCTTGCTCAAACGCGATCGAGAGAAAACATGGAAAAAGGAAAAGACTGCGGGGATATGATTTTCTCTGTACTGAAATCGCGAGCGAGAAAAAAAATAATTAAGCTAGGGTTAAAAAGTCTTCTAGGCCCACACATACTTGGGCGGGCGATTCGGGTCGGGTCTGATGGGCCGGGTCGCGCGATTCGGGGTTGGTTCAATGAAACGATTCGGCTCTAGGGCCCGTCTAGACGTAGTTTCAATACAGTTTTTCTCGGGCCTGATAAATTAAATCGAATCATATATATATATATATATATACACACTTAAATTTTAAAAATAATAATATTAATAGAATACAAATATACATTTTTAATTAAATAATAATACTTAGGCAATTAGGCAATTAATTACAATTTGGCAATTTAAATAACATTTAGACAGTTAAGCAATTTGACAAATAAATCACATTCGACAATTTATAATTAATAGCATTCAATAAATAATAATAATAATAATAACACATAAATATAAATAATAATAATAATAATAATAACAATAATAATAATAATAATAATAATAATAATAAATAATCTTCAAAAATTTCATAGTCAAAAGGGGCATTACACTTGCCCCTTACACAGCTGCAAACTCTCTCCAATCTCTCCCAGCAAGTTCAGCAACTACTCTGTCATCCAACTAAGACTCCTTAAAGACCCACAAGTTTCTGGCTTTCCACAACCACTATAGAATGTATGTAGAAAGTTGTATTCTTGCTTCAAAAATTGCAGTTTTGTTGATACTACACACATTGGACCACCATCCTTGAAAGCTATCTGTGTGAGAGCTCATGTCAAATCTACATAGTGTTGTAGTTATTTTTACCGGAGTTAAATCAAAAGATTCGAACACCGGGTCGTGTCTCAAGGAAGGTTAGCCGGATTATTTTGTACGATTATCCAAGCTCAAAAATGGAAAATAAAAGAAGTGAAAATCCTAAACATTCTAAATCAAGTTTGGAGATTTGATTATCGTCTACTAATTTGAAAAGCAAGTAATTGAACAGGGCAAGCAAACTAGGAATCACAAATTTAATATATGATGAAGGAGCTAGGGTATCGGGGTCGATCAATTCCGGTTCTCAATACACTTAACGAGCAATCAAGAGCTCGGTTGAACGTTTCGCTAAACTACTCATCTAGAGGTCTATCCTCAATAACTCTTCGTAACAAGAGGATAGACATAAATAAGCAATTCTTGAAGCAATCAACACATAAGCAATACTATTACGAACAAGCTTATCCCTAACGAGCCTAGATCGAACGATTTCTCCCTTTTCAGTTTTAAAATCGATTAGATAGATTAAGATGGTGATCAATCATCAAAACCCTAAATTAAGCACAACTC